GAAATTCCCACAGGCTTTTGGGGGCTCCGCTCCCACCCAAGGGCTTCTGGAGAGGAGGTGAGCTGTGCCGTGGGTGCTGCCTCTCCGCTTCCCACCCCCGGCACCTCCCGTGGAAGGGGCTGTTGTTTCGGAGCGGTGGCTGCGGCGGCTGCTGACTCCACGCTTACCTGTAGGCACCCACGTATGCTTGGGGCTGCGGTCGAGCTCTCCGGTGCCTCGCCCTGCTCCGGGGCTCTGCTCTCCTGCAAACACCCGTGGTCCGGCCAGTCCTTGCCACGCAGAGCTGCCCGGCCGGCCACCAAACGCTGAGCCTGGCAATGTGTGCTCCCCGTCACCTCCCTGCCGGGCACAGCTGACTGATGGCTGGGCTGGGGGGTGGCCGATCGTCATTAACCCCCCCCCAGTCCACTGTCAGCACCGCTTTGCCACCTGCCTGCAGCTGTGCCCTGGTGGGGAGGCGACTGTGTCCCCTTCCCCAGGCTCAGCCTCGGCACCAAACCAGACCTGGTGTGAAAGAGTGGCACTGGGTCTGCCAGCCACCAACCTGTTCCTGGAGCGCTGGCTGGCTGAGGGCCACGGCTTCCCAGGGTTTGGGTCTGGCGATCTCAGGGACCCCGTCCTTGGTGGCATCATCCCTGCCCCTGTGAGGGATTTAAGCCATGCCCAGGAGCAGCAACCAGACTTGCCGTGGGTTCCCCTCGTCCAGGTCTCCTCCAGCAGCCCTGGTGCCCGTCCCATGTCCCTCCGAAACTCGTGTCCAACCTGGGCCAGTCCCGGTACCTGTGACCCACGGGGACCAGACCCCGCTGTCCCCAGGCATGGGGATGGGCTGTCAGGTGCCTGCGGTTTCGGTCACGGGTCCCCAGGGAGGCCAAACCCCCCCCATCTCATCCCGTCCCGAGGAACCAAAACAAACAGCAGAGTTCCTGCCACGTGCGGCCGGGGCTGACTAAGGCCGGACGCTTCCTCCTGCCTCGGGCAGCCGTGGCCGGGGCCACGAGCCACCTCCATCGGGGTGCACGGCACGGCCCATTTCCCCCTATTGTCAGGCTCCCCCCCGGCAAACACATCCCCCTGTGCACCTGGGCTGGGAGGAGGCGCTGACGCCACAGCAACCAGCCTCCAGGAGCCAGGGATGTGCCGCTGCCGGCGTCTCTCGGGGTTGGGGCCACCACGGCAATGGCCCTGGGGAGTCCTTCAGGGCCTGGGTGCCCTGGTGTTGTTTCCTTGAGGAGCAATGCTGATCATCCAGGGATCACTGGTGCAGCCCTACTTGCCTTCCAAGGGCACCGGAGAACCCCATTTTTCCCAGAAGAGAGCAGCAATCTCCTGGCAGAGAGGTCTGGATTTCCCCCTGCAGAGGGGCTGGTGCCCAGGAAGCCCCTGCCAGACCATGCCCATCCCCATTGCCGCTCTCACATGTGGGTACACGCAGCTCCAACCAGCCAGTCTCCAGCCTTCTGCCTTTTGCCTTCTGTTCTGCTGCGGAGACACAACTGAGCTGGTTTATCCCAACGTTAGCTCTGGACCAAGCCATCCGCACTCACTGGCAGGGGAGCTCAGGAGAGCCTAAGCCAGAACACCGAGGGTGAAACATGGGCGCTCTGGGATGAAGGGCGGGCGTGAGGAGCCCAACACCTCACGTCTTCATGCTGCTTTGACCTTGGGAGTCCCATCACAGCACAGGATGTAGGTAGCTGCTGTGGGGACTCTTGCCCGCCGGGAGGGGTGGCAGCAGCAGCCTGAGGGGGAAGCTCCCTGGGGGAAGCCTCCAGCCCTGATCAGCCTGGCTTTGGTGTCCTAAATAGCAGCAGCACAAAAATAACGCCCTGAAGATTTCAGGGGTGTTCTCCAAGGGCTCAGCGGGTGACAGGAGGTCCTGGGTGCAGATGGCTTAAAGAGCGACACGGAGGAATTTTGTTGTGCTCTTTTCATTGGAGATGTTGAAGGTGGGATTTGGCCGGGGAGGAGACACCCTTGAAGGGATTTTGATGCTCAAATAGGGCTGTTTTATGGAAAAGGAGACTTAGGGGGTGCTTGCCAGTGGTGAGAGGGGTGAGATTTTGTGGGGGAGAGCTGCTGCCTGTGCTGGGCTCCTTCGGTGCTCCCGGGCAGCCGGGGACCCTGCCCTTGCCCCTCACCCAGCAGGTGTAAGAGCCATGGAGGTGAGCCTGTTCCACGAGGGGGATGCACCATCATTCCCCCCATCTCCTTCCCCCCGTCTCCTTCCCCAGGGCTGTGAGCAGGGCAGGGAGGGGGCACGGGCAGGCGGTGGCATATTTGAGGCGATGCTTTCAGCCCTCAGCCGCTGCCTGGGGCTCACTGCAGGGGAGGCATCTGCCCTTTAAGGAAATGTCTCTATTTGCCTTCTGTCCCTGGCCTGTCCCCTGAGCCTCCTCTGTCCCTTGTTCCCAAAGTGCGTAACTCTGCTCCCCAGAGCCCGGTGGGAGGCGACGTGAGGGACACGGTGCATTTATAGCAGCGACCTCCAGCCCTGTCCTGCAGCTGGGGAAGGGTAGGCTCGGCCCCTGGGGAAGGAGGGCGGCAGAGGGGAAAGCGAGTGGCCATGGCCCCAGCCAGCTGGATGTTCCTCCCTTTTGCAGGAGGATGTTGCTGGTCACAGATTACCAGCGTCCAAATATTATTTCTCTGCTCCTGTCTCTGCTCCGTGCCGCCTAGAAAGGGGATGCTCATCCCAGGAATGTAAACTCTGCCCAAGGCCTCTGAGGAAATAGCTTCAGACCAGGAACAGGATTGCGCTCGGCAATTAAGGGCTGGTCTCCCCAGCCACACGGCTTCTGCGGGAGAGCCCTTTGCTCCAGCGCCAGAGGCTGGCCTTGTGTCTGAGAGGTGGCCCCGAGGGACCTTCCTGCAAGGACAGGCGTGAGGCCCCGTGTGGTCACGGTCTCTGCAATAACAGGATTCTGTCTGTTCAGGGAGTTGGCAGCAGCTGCTCCTTGGGGCAGCCTCTGGTCCGGGCTCTGGGGTGGGAGGAAACACTCCCTTTGCCCCCCCCAACCTCAAAATTGATCCTGGGGAGATGGGAGGGACCCCTTGGCCCAGGAGAGCCCGTGGGATGGCAGAGGGAGAGCACAGGCATGCTCTAGCCATTGCAGGAGGGATGTTACCTGCCCCTTGCTGCCCAGCCAGGGGTGAGAGTGTGAGCAGGCACCCAAAGCTGCTGTGGCAGCCCTTGGCAGAGCCTGGCAGCCCCCGGCAGCCGCTGTGCTGTGCTGTGCCGCTGAGTGACGAACTGCAGTGCACTCGACCCCCCAGCAGCGCTGGGATTTCTGTGTGCTTATCTCTCCAGCACCTCCCTGCTAATTTGCCAGGCCCTGCTCCAGCAGCTTTCCCACACGCTCAGCGGTCCCAGCACAGGGAAACTCCAGCCAGAGCCCAGCTCCCTCTGTTGCCTGAGCTGCTGCCACCTTCCTGGCCTGGTGGGGCTGGGGACAGGCGGCCGGCACATCCTGCATCCCTTGGGGACAAGACCCCACAGGGCTGGGAGCAGCCCCTGTGGGCCTGGGGACTAGCCACCCCGGCATCCTCACACCGCAGGAATGGACCTCACACAGAGGTGGCCAGGGAAGCCCTGGAGCAGCCTCCCCGCTCTCCCAGGAGGACAGAAACGTGAATCCTGGCAGGGACACAGAGCCCATTATTTCCCTGGGACCCGCAGCCCACAGGGGATCGTGTTGCCCACTGGCATCTCTCCCCTTCCCACCTCCCGTCGCTCCAGCTTTCCTGGCCGCTGGGGCTTAAAAATAGAACAGAAAAGGCCACAGAGCTCCTCTGGGGTTACCCTCGGCAGCAGGATTTGGCCCAGGGAACCACTGTGCCCCCTTCCTTCCCAAGCTGGAGGGACCCCTCCATGGCAGACAGGACCCCAGGATGGTGTCCCTGGGGCCGAGTGGGCTGGAAACACCCTGTTGGGCAGGCGTGGGGTGGCGTGAGGGGGAAGAGGGTGGGCGAATGGCCATGAGGTGCCTGGGTGGGGGCGGGACAGGGCAACGGCAGGGGGACGGGGCGGATGGATGGATGGATGGATGGATGGATGGGTGGATGGGTGGATGGATGGGTGGGTGGATGGATGGATGGACAATGCTGTTTTGTAAGCTTTGTGTCCTTAGAAAATGAGACAAAAAAAGTTTTTTATTTTCTAAAATATTTCTATATTATTTCCATTAGATTATCAAGCCTTTTCTTTTTATCTGAGGAAACTAAGATTACAGCAATTAGTAGTAATAACCATTCATGCCTTTCTTTGGTTAAATGTCACTGCTGCTGGTGATTTCCCTGCAAGCTGTGCTTTCAGACACCTGTAATAAACAATTAAGTTTCCTTCTATTAATGGTGGCCTCAGAAATTGGTGTGCAGCCAGGTGCCACCACCAGGTAGAAGACTCACAGAGACAATTTGCAGGAGTTTTGGCCAGAGGAGCCACCCAGCTGTGCCACTGTCTCTTGTTTCAGGGCTGAGGGTGGCTGCAAGACACCAGCAGGAGAGGAAACAGTGGAAAAGCAGATCCATAAGTGCTGTGGATGTGGCCCTGTGAAGGAGTTGAGGGAGCACTCTTGGAGCTGAGGGAAAAATGGCAACTTGGAGAGGTGCACAAAGAGCCCCCTTGCCCAGCTCCTTGTACTTGAACAGGGTTGTATCAGAGAAGTCTTAATGTCCAAAATGATCTCTTTGGGTCTCACACTGCCGTGAAGGCTGTACCTACCAGTAACATCTGAGCAGTGGTGCTCTGCAGTTCCAGGTGCACTTCAAGCCTGATGACAGATCTCCATAGAGAGATCCCTCTAAAGACAAGAGTAGAATTAGGGGTTTTAAAACCCCTGGTTTTAAATGTCCTGGTACCAATAGAAGTAACAGAGCCCTACAGAGAGGTGAAGTGGGGAGGCGGGGGGGAGCAAGGTACAAGAATTTGGTTGTGCTTAAAAAAAATGCAACTCTTTGGAATGAAAATGTAAAAGGAGGGAGAAAATGGACCAAGGCAAATGTTGAAGGACCCCCACTCCTCCCCGCCCCCACCAGCGCCCGCCTTTCCCTCCCTACAGGCCCCGGAGGCGCGGGGGACCGCCAGCACGGAGCCGTCCGGTGAGTTGGCAGCAGGCGGCCGTCGGTGCCCCGGCTGGGAGGGGGCGGCATCCCGGGGAGGGCTGCGCGCAGGGCCGCTCGGTACCCCTTCTCCCCCCTGCCCCCGGGGCCGTTATTCCCCTGGAGTCCCGCGGCGACGCCCGGGGCGGGGGTACCGCGGAGCCGTGCCGGGGGTCGGAGCAGCCTGTCCCCCCCGCACCTAGCCCGCCCCGGGCGCTTGCGGCACCGGGCAGCGCCGCGGGCTGGAGCGGAGAGCTGCCCTGCCCCGGGTACCGGGCGGGAAGGCTCCGCTGCGACTCCCGTGTGCTCTCCCCGCCGGGAAACCCGAGGGGACGGTCGTGGGCTGCGCTGCGGGGCTGAGCTTCGGCGTCCGCCTGGGGAGGGCGAGGGGAACCGGGGGTGCGGGGGGGAAGCAGGGTGCCTGAGGAGAACAGGGAGCTGGCGGGCAGGTGGAGAGAGAGCTCATTGAGGTGCGTGCGTGAGCCTTTGCACCGCAGTGGTGATGGACTTGCTCGGGGCACAAGGGGATCCTCCGCATCCCGGTGCCCCCGTGATGGATGCGGGATCCCGCCGCAGCTGCTGCACCTGCCCCGGCGGCGGGTCGGCTGGGCTCAGCCTCTGCGGGGTGTCTCCTTATAGCCCCCCCCACCCCGGTCTCTTGCAGTCCTGAGCTTTCGGGAGATCTGGAACCGGAGTTTCTGCCGGCCCCTGGAGCAGCTGGTGGATGTGATTGCCGAGTTCCCCAACGAGGTGGAGTACATTTTCAGACCCTCCTGCGTCTCCCTGCAGCGCTGTGGAGGCTGCTGCGGGGATGAGGGTCTCCGCTGTGTCCCCGTGGAGACAAGCACGGTCACCATGCAGGTAAGCACTGCCACCGGGGGGCTGGGGCAGCGTCGGGGAGGTCGTGGGCTCCTCGCCGAGCACTGGAAGGGTGAACTTGCAGCTTCACGTCTTCCAGACATCGTAGCAGCATGGGTAACAGGGCAGAGGGGCTTACTCATAACCATTTAAATACACATCAAACCATAAGGGTCTCTCTACCTGCTCTTTGGGCTTGTCCCTGAAGCCAGATGACACCCCTGGTGGTACTGCTTCCCTGCCCTCTCCTGTCTGCATGGTCTGTCTGGCTGACTGCCGTCACTTTTCCAGACCTTTCCTGTCCTGCCGTGGGGTTGGAAGTTTCCCAGTTGCCTGTGACTCTGCCTGCTGGGGCAAAGCAAGCGCTGTCGCTGAATCGCAGGGAGAAGGGAGGCTCTCGTGTGTCAGGGGGTGCCTGTGGTGGTGCTGACAGAGAAGGTGTGCTGGGGGCTTGAAGGGCTGCGTCAGCTGCACTTCCAGTCCCCTCTGTGGGAGCTGTGTGGAGTTGGGTGGGAGATCCTGGGCTGTGAACAAGCTGCTGGGCGGCTCTTCCCCGTGTGCCAGGCAGCCGTTGTCACCGCAGCCCCTTGTGCTGTGCTGTTGGACACCAGCCTGCTGCTGACTAGAGAGTGCCCATGATAAATCACCAGTGATTATGGTCTCTCTGGGGTTGAAAGCGTGCTGGAAGGCAGGGGGGGAGTCTCCAAAAAATCTTGACTGAAGTGGAGCAAGAGCCTGACATGAATGGGAGTCAAATTCCCAAGCACGGGTCTCCCTCCACAGCAGGAATCCTGCTGCCGTGCGTGGGGTGACAATGTCAGGCACTTCTGTGGGGGCTGGTGTGGATCACGCCAATGATGGACACATCCTGTGAAGCCCCTGGATGTCCCAGCTGAGCTGAGGACTGACAAGTGGTGGGCCAAATCCTGCACCCCATGGACTGGGGAGGCACCGTGGTACTGACCCGAGGATCGGTGCTGTGGGAAAGGGGACCAGGAGGAGGCAGCAGCAAGAGGAATGGCCTGGAAAACATGACTAGGGGGAAATTTCCATCGGAGATGGGAAATGTGCAAAGTGGCCAAATATGTGAAAGTTCTCCACAAAGGCAGAGAGAGAAAAATCTCCTCTAAGGCTGGGAAATCCCAAGATCATGGGACTTAAATTACAGCCCTGAAGACACGGGGTGGCTCTAGCAGAGCTTCCCAAGCTGCTGGGGTGGCCGGGACCTGGCTGGGGCTGCCAGCGTGCGGAGGTGGAGTCTCTGCTGCCGGAGGTGCCGAGGAACAGGTTGGGCACGCGTCTGCCCAAGGGGCTGGGGTGTCGGGGCAGCGCCGTGGGACTCCTTCCAGCCCCCTCCTGCTGCTGGCTGGGAAGTAACCTTTGCTCCTCTTCCAGCTCCTGAAGATAAAGCCGAACGGGGAGGCACCCTACGTGGAGATGACATTCACCGAGCACAAGCAGTGCGAGTGCAGGTAGGGACCCCCAGGCTCGTTTTGCCCCCCTGTGCCCCTCCAGCACGAGTGACCCTGCCATCTCAATCTGCATGTGGGACAAGAACACCCTGGGGGCACCCTGGCCGTGCTGGGACGCCCCTGCTATCTCCATGCTGGGGTTTGCTGGTGCTTATGGCACTTGCTCAGCTGCAGCCTGCTCTGCATCTCTGCAGCCTGTCCCCCCCGCAGCCAAGGGGGTGCAGAGCTCTGTCTGCAGGGCTGGAGCTGCTGCGGCACCCCGGCTCTGTGAGCAGGGATGTCTGTGCCCCCCACCCCTGAGGCTGCTTTGGCATGTCTGGCGTGTGCTCCTCTGGCTGGGGGAGCTGCCTGTGGGTAACGGAGCAAGGCTGGTGGCTGTGGGGCAGGTTTTTGGTGTGCAGCAGCATTGCCCAAGGTGGTGGCTCAGCAGGGAGCTCTGTGGCTTGGCATTACCTGAGTGTGACTGTGGCCCAAAGAGAAAGCTGAAGGGCCAGGCCTTGGGCTTCCATTTTAAGGAGGCTGCCCCATCCGGGGCTGGGGAGTGGGTTTACATCCGAGCCAACAAATGAAAGCTTAAAGATGCAGCACCAGCCCGGCATGGATCATGGATACGCAGCGCTGGCCCAGGATGGATGCGCAGCACCGACCTGCCGCAAACTCCTGGCACATGTTTAACCCCTCAGGGTGCTCACCGTGTCCCAGAAGTGGTGGGAGCTTGGGCAGGACGGGGCCTCTGCCCAGGGGCTGCAGTGCTGTGGGAGCAGGGAGTGACTCTGGTGCTGGTCCCCGCTGTGATGCCTCTCCAGCACCGCCTGCGCGGGGTCCTGGCGTTTGCTTTCCATCCTGCCCCCAGGGTGATGTAGTATTGCGAAAGCTGGGGGCTGCGTCCTGCTGGGCAGCTGTTAGACACGGTCCTTGCCTGGAAGAAGAGGATCCCCTGCAGGGTTGGTATTCCCCGGCAGTTGTAAGAGCGTCAGTGCTGGAGCAGACCCAAGGCCCGTCCAATGCTGAGTGTGTCCCTGGAGCATCTGTTGGTGGATGTAGAAGAGGGAGCGGGAAGAACACATGTGTTACTTCCCCCTCCTCTGCTTCCAGCTATTTTCCGTGCAGGGAATTTCCTGAGCCTGTTGTGGTTTTCCTACCTAGGGTAACTCCCTGGGGATCTTGTGTGAGTACTTGTGCAGGCTGCCTTTGGACATGTGTAAACTTCTTGCTTCTGCAGCACCTTTCAGCTTCTCCCTAAGCCGCCTTCCACACCTTGACATTGCTCCCCTTTGAAGTTCAGCGTAGGCGTGGTGGATGTCCTGGCCTTGGCCCCTATAGGGGATGCTTAAGCCAAGTATGTCGTGGCTGTTGTCTGAGAACCACTACTGAGACTTTGCAGCAAATCCCACGTGTTACTCAGGATGTTGCAGCTTGTTTAACCAGCTGAGCTATGGAAGCTGTCACTGGGAGCAGCTGGAACTCAACCTGTGCTTCCTGGCCTCACGGGCGCAAAGTGTGACATCCCCAGGGGAGTCACCAAAGCCCACTGTCCCTTGCCCCTTGGCTGTCTCTGCCCACTGCAATCAGCGCCTGGCTGAGGGGTTGATAACATGGAGAGAAGTCATGTTGGGCCTGTTTTGAGTGTGAATGATAACGGGTAGCTTGTGCTGCGCACTGGGGCATCTCAATAAACCCCCTCACTCAACAGACAGCATGGCCCAAGCAACCACTTCACTCTGTCCTTTTCCCACCCCACAGGCCCCGGCAGGACCTGATGAGGTTGGGAAGGTAAGCGATGTCAGGGGTGGCGTTACTGGCTGGGGTTGTGGGTCTCATCTCCCACACATCAGCCTCTCTTCTGGTACTTTCCTTTTGAAGGAGGAGGTCCAAGGCCCGAGGTAAGAGAAGACAAGACAAGAAGAGACGTAAAGACTGTGAACTGTAAGTGAGAAGGGGTGGGTATGAGTGGTCTCTAACTTCTTTGGGATGAGCAGCTTCATTAAGCCTTTAGGTCATTACTGACGCAGTGAGCAGTGAGGGACTTGTGCAGAGCAGACACAGGAGAAAGCAGGACAGAGGGGACAGTGGGTGGCTGTGGGAAACAATAGGTGCTGGGTAGTCTCCAGGCTCAGCTGCTCAAGGGTGGTCAGTCCACCCGGGTTGGGGATGGATGGGCTGGGTGACTTGGTGTGCAGCTCTGTTGCCATCACAGACCATGCTGGATTTCCTGGATCCATGGATTTCCAGTTTCAACCTCATCTTGCTGCCAGCTGTGTCCTTCCTGGAGTCCTTGACTAGTCATTGTTTGGGTTACTCTTCCCTTTCCCTCCTTACATTCAGCTGACTGTCTCAAGCTGCTTGCAGTAGCAGCACAGTCCGGACTCTTCCTGCAGATGGCTTTGGGATGTGGTGCCCGTGGCTGGCACCTTCCTCTTGTATTTCCCTGTTCTGTCTGAAGTTTGCTGCTCGGGGCTCAGCCAGCACCCGCAGCCCCATCACCCTTGCTCCTCCCCGTGAAGAGGCTGCCTGTGCTCCCTACCCCACACTTTGGTGCTGGGGGGCACCTGGGGGAGAGCGGGTGAGCCTGGAGGTCCTGCTGTCTGTTCCCCCCGCCCATCCTGGCAGCACTCACCCCGTGCCATGCTCTCTTTGCAGATGTGGCACACCACGCAGGTAGCCTCCGCTCTGCCCCCGGCCTCGCTCCTGCTGCCTGGGTTTGAGCCAGCTGCCGTTCCCCCTGGCATGGGGGACCCTCTCCAAGCAGCGGTGGGGAGCGGGACATCAGGAAGAGCTGACTGGACTCTTGCTTGGCCCTGGTGGGAACACAGCCTGGAACCCAGGACTCCCTTGCCCAGTCTGCGCTGCTGGCAGCAGGACAAAAGGACCCATGACGAGGCCTGGGGCTGAAGATGAGGAGCTCGAGCAGCGCGTTGGTGTTTGACAGCATCTTGGGGGCAATGTGGAGCGGAGCTGGTGGGCGTGTTGCTGGAGCTGGCTGAGGACAACATGATGTCGGGGGTGAACAGAGACGGTTTGGAGGGTTGCAGCTGCAAAACCACTCTGTCCTGCCAGTGCCCTGCAGCTGGGGAGGAAGGAAACCTGGGCGGGCAAGGCTGCAGGGCTGCATCCGTCCCAGCCTTGGCACGGGGCAGCCCAGGAGGGTGCTAGGGAGCTTGCCTGAAAAGTCCTTCTGGTAGGGAAGGGGAGGGAGTTGGGGTTGCCAGGGCTCCTCACATACTCACAGCCACATCCCAGCCTTGCCCCTACGCAATAAACCCCCGTGGTCAGACACAGGAGCTGCAGTGTGAGGGCTCCTGTCTGCTTTCCAGCAGCTGCAGGCAGCGCTTTTCCCCATGGGCACCCCTCGAGGCTGGAGGAGGGCAGTCCTGCAGTGGTCCAGGATTTGTCCCCAGCATCAACTCCTGCAGCACCCGAGGGGCTGTCCTTGGTGTGATGCTGGAGATGGGCAACCAGCAGGTCAGGACCAAGCTGCTTCCCCAGGCTGGGGGCTACCCCATGTTCTGGAGCTCAGGTGGGTACTGGGAGAGCCTTGGAGGAACCGTCGTCTTCCAAACCATGACATGGGGCTGGTATCTCTCACGATTCACCATCCTCATCCTGTTCTCACCCCAATCCATGTGGCTGGGCTGATGCAAGGTTAGGGCAGTGGGAGTAGAGACTGCCCATGGGCCTTCCCACCCAAGAAACACCCCACCAAAGCTCACATCACTCGGGAAGGGGTCAGGCTGGCCTGGGAGCCCTGTCTCTTGCTGGGACCATGCTTGAGGGTGTAGGGGGCTGGTGGCCTTCATCAAGGTGGCTGTGGGTGCCGTTGTTTTCTGGTTTTCCCATGCAGCTGGGTTTGTGCCCAGGTCTGGGGGGGCATCCCCAGCCCTTGTTTCTGGGTGCCTTAAGCAGTGCCCCTGGGGCTTTTATTCTCCCCTTTCCCATCTCTGCTGCAGAGGAGCTGGGGCTGGATGCCAAATGCATTCCCTGCTGCTTCATGCGAGCTGTGCCCTGGAGCAGGAAACCCTGAGGGCAAGCTGGGCATCCCTGGCCTGGGGTTAAAACAAAATCCAGCTTCAAGCAAAAGTCTGGAGGGCAAGATGTGCAAAGGCTTTAAAGTTACCATCAAATGAGGTGAGCTGTGGTTTATCCTGCACTGAGGAACAAGAGTGGTGTTGGGGTCCAAAGCAACTCCTCCTCACATCTGACGTGGCAGCTTATAGCTGGGGCAGGGTCCCTCAGAGCCCTAATGCTGGTGCTGCCTGGGTCTGGCACAAGGCCGTGAGGACAGGGCAGGTCCTGTGGCAGTGGTACCCTGGCAGGCAAAGCCGGTGGTGGGTGTTGAGGTGATGTGAACTTCCATGCTGCCACATGCAGCATGGCATAGAGCGGGTGAGTGTACCCGTACACCTGGACATACCCTCCAGGAGCTGTCTGGATCACTTTTAGACCCCATTTCCACTTCTGGCATCCACAGTGTCCTGGGGTACAGCCTGTGTGGGCTCTGCCTCAACAATGGCCTGTGCAGCTCCTTCTTGGCTGCCTCATGGATGGGGGGTACTTGCTGCTCCCCTTCCTGTGCCACTCAGAGTTTGTAGGTTCCAGTGGCCTGTCCTGGTCTGTGCATGTGTTCCCTATCCCTGTGTGCCATTTCAGCCTGGCTGGTTGCACTTTGAGGCTAAAGGAGAACTGTGTGCAGCACTCGAGGGATGTACGTGATGGTTTCTGTATTGTTTTTAACAGTAGAAGTTTCACTGCAATAGTATTAAACCTTTAAAAAGGAAGTTGCATAAGCCCAAGGATGTTAATAAAAAATAATTTTGTCAAGAGTGGTGATTAGGGTTAAAAAAAAAATCAAACAAACTCCTTCCCAGCGGCTTTTCCTAACAGTTCCTGGTGTGGGGTGTCACCTCTTTGACTGCTGCTGGGTGCTGAGAGTTTTCAGGCAGCTCTGCTCAAAGCCAGTGGGGCTGGGCACCTGCCTTGCACGAGCACCCTGTGCCACTTCTCCCCCTGCATCGCCCAAGCCCCCCAGGTGCTGTGTGCGGCCTCATCCCCTGCTCCTCCCATGGCATAGGGTGTTGGAGTGGATGGCAAGGACGTGGGCACCACCAGCATGGGAGGTTTCGAGTGGCATCTCCAGGTGTTGTGGCTCTCTCCAGCTCTGGGGGCCTGTTTTACCAGTGAGGGGAACCCGATGAGTCCTAGCAGCTCCCCAAAGCTCCTGGGGCTGCTGCAGGCACCATATGCCCAGGGGATGACCAGTTTCCTTCCATGCCCCCCTGCATGTCCCTGTCCCTGGATGTCCACCTTCCTCATCCTGGGGTGGCAGGGACTTCCAGCAGGACATTGTGCCCAATGGTGATGTGAGGATCAGGTTGGGGGCCTGCTGCCACGAGGGGAGAGTGGGACTCCTGGCCTCAGAGCTCACAGCTGCTACCCATATTGCCTATCAAGGAGGCTATTTGTCCTCCTGTGTTGCTCCCAGCTGTGCCTTTTTTGCAGGCTTGCACCAGTAGCTCCTGTCAGCCCTCCCTGGCCACAGCAGACGTGTCTCCTGTGCACCCTGACAAGGTCAGCTGCTTCTACAGACCCCCACATTCCCCAAGTGCTGCAGAACAGGGCTGTAGGAAGGGACTGGTTCCCTTGTAAAGGGACTGGGACAGAGCCCACCCCCAAAGCCAGCAGGGAGCAGAGCAACCCCATGATTGGTCATCTATGGACTGGCAGCAAATGTGCCCCAGCCTCACTGCTCCCAAATCTCCATCCTACCCCTTGTAGACCGGTAGCTGCCTCACGGGAGCAGCACACCACTGGGTTATCAGCACCCCTGGGCTCCCTCCCTTTGTCTCCCAGCCTTACAGAGCCAAGATTTGTTTAATAACAAACTTTTAGGAGCCAGAGCTGCAGCAGGATGGTTTAGAAGGAGAGTTATAGGGGCCACAAAACATAAGCTGGGCTCCAGACCGCAGTAGGAACAAAGCATCACATATTTTGGGGGAAGTACCTGGAAAGGTGATGAGGAGATCAACCCAGAGATATAGCATCATAGCTGATGAACCTCTGATGTTAAAGTTTCACTGGTAACCTCCAGCCTCCCAGATCCTGGGATGCCAGCATGTACCAGCTTCTGCAGGGGCTGGACGCAGTGACCATCCAGGCTGGTGTGGTTGTGGTGGGGCCAGCTCCCATCAAAGTAAAACCACCTTTTCAGAAACATTTGCTGTCGCAATGGGATGTGCTCAGAGGTTGGGAAGGGATGGCCAAAGATGCAAGTGCCTCCTTCTTTCCCAACCAATCTTAGCACAGTCTTTCTTAGGGTATCACTGGGATTTTATTCTGGCTGTCCTCCCTTTGCAGGTCCCCTTCCAGCCCTCCAGAAAGAAAGTTATTTGGACCTGGATTGACCATCCCACAGAGGCAGCAAACCAATTGGCCTGGTTGAGCACTTCTGTCTCCCTCGCTAGTAAGTGCAGTGATCTGGTGGGTCCTGCAGACCTGGCCTTCTGAGAAAAAAGACCCTCCCTGGGCCAGGAGGCCAGGAATGTGAACTTCTGGGCTAAGCCAAAGACTGACAGGAACAGTGTGGTGAGTAGGACCCGAGAGGGGATCATCCCCCTGTACTCGGCACTGGTGAGGCCCCACCTTGAGGGCTGTGTCCAGTTTTGGGCCCCTTACCACAAAAAAGACATTGAGATGCTGGAGTGGGTCCAGAGAAGGGCAACGAAGCTGGTAAGGGGTCTGGAGCACAAGTCTTAATGAGGAGCAGCTGAGGAGCTGATGTTGTTCAGCCTGGAGAAAAGGAGGCTGAGGGGAGACCTTATCACTCTCTACAACTACCTGAAAGGAGGGGGCAGTTGTAGGGGGGTCAGTCTCTTCTCCCAAGTCACAGGCAACAGGACAAGAGGAAATGGCCTCAAGTTGCACCAGGGTAGGTTCAGGTTGTATATTAGGAAACATTTTTACACGGAAAGGGTTGTCAAACATTGGAATGGGCTGCCCAGGGAGGTGGTTGAGGCACCATCCCTGGAGGTGTTCAAAAGACGGGTTGACATGGTGCTGGGGGACATGGTTTAGTGATGGTTTTGTCAGAGTTGGGTTGATGGTTGGACTAGATGATCCTGAAGGTCCTTTCCAACCTAGATGATTCTATGATTCTATGACATTTTCCACACACAAAGCATTTGTTAACCACCAGCTGCCATTTTGCTGCTCCTCGATGCGTTTGTGCTGTGCGTTCCCCTGTTCTCTCTATTGAAAACAAGTTTCTAAACCCAAAACAAGCCTGGTAAACGAGTGGCAAAAGGGGCAGCCGAGAGCCCAGAGCTGGGGGGGGCAACGACACCCACTTGCAAGACGCAAACCAGGGAGAACCCCCAGTGCCCTGGGCAGGGGGGGACACACAGAAGAGACAGGTCACCCAGTGTGTACCCCCTGCCGACTGGGTGGGCAGGGAGCTGCTGGAGCGGGGGCACCCTTCCAGAGGTGGGTGGAGGCAAAGGCTAATTTAAATCACGGCTAATTGCATGTTACGGGAGGAAGGAGACAGGGTATCAAAAGCAGTCCTTAATGAACGGGAGCTTTATTAATTAAGGACAATTAATGGTGACTAACGATGATACGAGGCGCGATGGCGCTCACGGCACCTTAACGGAGACATGAAGGACCTGCCTTGGGGCGCGGGGGGGGGACACCCCCAGACGGGACCCCCCTGCACCCCGGCAGGGACCCCCGGGGCGGCCCCCGGTGGGGCGGCCGGGGGGGGG